CTCCCACCTCCTGGGCATGGTCAAGCAGGTGGAGCGGCTGAGCCTGGGCACCTTCCACCCGGCCTACGCGCCCATCGAGCACATCAGGCAGCAGCTGCAGGACACTCTGCCCGCGGACGTCCACATCCTGGCCTCCCGGAGGCTCGGCATCTCGTTAACCCACTGGCCCGATGGTGGAAACGTCATGGTCACGGACTTCACCACCCGTGATGAGGTCATCCAGGTGAGCAGGTGCTGAGCTCCAGGGCCTGGCGGCAGGTGGCTGGGCTCTGTGAGGCTGGGTTCCAAGTAGCCGGGCAGTGTATGGCTGGGCTCCGGGTGGCTGGGCTCAGAGTGGCTGGGCTCTGTGTGGCTGGGTGAGGAGGTGGAGGGGAGTGCCTTAGCGGCTGTGTGTGGCTGGACTCCCTCTAGTCTCTTTAGTTCCAGAATGACTTCCGGGTATTTGGGGGGTCGGGGGGAGACAGACATATCTGGGGAGCTGGAGGAGGGCAGGGAGGTTGGCAGGAACTGTTTATAAAAGAGGAAACTGAGGTGCAGAGGGGCCAGCAGGGTGAGTCTGGAGACTTCTGCCTTGCCATGGATACCCTTGGCTGGGGAGGGGGCAGAGTCAGGTTTCTGCGGTGAGGGCCCCCACAGGAACTTCTCCTAGAGCATGGCTGTCCAGTCCCCACTTAACCTCACCCTCCAGTGCCTCTTGGCAGCAGGCAAATATTTATTGAGCATCTATGATGTGCCAGTTGCTGTTTCAGGCACAGTGATGGCCACAGGGACCAAAACAGCTAAAACTCCTTTCCTTCCTGGGCTTATGTACAATGTGTGTGGGGATATAGATGATGAGCACATCTCCAAATAACGAACTGGGAAACGATCTAGTATTGAAACAACACTGGAGGGTGTGCTTGAGAACTGCACAGTCAGGGGAAGGGCTCCGCCCTCCTCGCCTGCCAGGCACAGGCTATGAGGTGGCCAGGAGGGCTGAGAGCTCAGACAGGTAGGGAGACAGTATCCTCTCTAGAAGGTCCTCTTGACTCTGTTTGCTCTTCCTATGGGGGTCTTTGTCTTCCACCCATAGTGGGGTCTTCCATACGGAGTCTGCTTCATCTTAGTGCCCCCAGGGCCCAGTGCAGAGCCCGTCTCTGAGTCCATGCTGGCTGTAATGTAGGTGTTTGCTTCTGAGTGTGCAGGGGAAGAGGCCAGTCCCATGCTACAGGCTAATGGCCATGGGCCCCTCAGGGAGCTAGCTGAGGACCCCAAAGAGTGTCTCAGAATCCTTGCTTGATGGACACATGATGCAGGGCCTGGCACATCATAAGTGCTCGGTAAGCATGAGTTGAGGTCACTATTACTAGTCTATGGAAACAAGACTGTCACCTGCGTCCATCTGGCCATCTTCCAGAGAGGGCTGGAGGAATGTTTCTGAGTGTCCTATGAGGCAAGGTTCTGTGGTCATTGTGTAAGCTCTTGGTCAATGGTTCTCAACCAAAAGTAATTTTATACTCCATAGGACATTTGGCAATGTTGTAGACACCTTCGGTTGTCACGCTGTGTGTGTGCGTGCTCACACACACTTTTGGCAGGTAGAGGCCAGGGGTGTTGCTAAAAATCCTACAATGCACGGGACACAACTCTGTGCACCAAAAGAAAATTACCCAGCCACGGATGCCAATAGTGTCAGAGTCTGTGTTCAGCATCTTTTTTTGCTGTAGGACTTGTCAGAGCCTCAACTGGGAAGAGTATGTGTTTTCCAAATGGACAGAGAAGATAGGGTTTCTTGTTAGAGGTGCATCTGGTTGGATCAATGTCCAGGGGACATTCTTTGGAGACATACCTAGGTTCTTAGTGGTGGACTCCTGCTAGACGGATGAGGGATATATGATACTTGGTACCACTGTCTTTGAGGGGAAAAAAAAAAATCCCAGCACAGTGCGAGTCAGCAAGGGTCCGTCTCATCTGCAGAGAAAGGAGGATGGGTCTCTAGACAGGCCTGCGTTCAAATCTCTGCTTAACTTGGAGAACTTGACTGAATGCGCTGCCTCCCTGGGCCTCAGGACTGGTGACACCTCCCCAAAGGCTACTTGGGGTTGAGAGCCCAGGCCCAAAGGCAGTTCTGGGCTCAAGGAGCACAGGCGGTGAACTCCTGTTGATACTTCTCTCCTCAGGCCCTGGTCTGTACCGTGTACTTCCCTTTCTACTGTGGGATGATCCCCCCTGAGTTCAGAGGGGAGGTGAGTGCGCTGTGGGCTCAGCCTCGTGTTCTGGGGAGCCCCAGAGAGGTGTGGTTGGAGCAAACCTGTACTCCTTGAGTACCTACTGTATACCAGGTCCTTTCCCTGCTTCTGGAGGTGCTCAGCATCCAGGGTGGAGTGGCCCTGGTGACTTAGGGGCATCCCGAGGTTGCCCATGGCAGCCTGTTATCAGCAGGTGACTCTGAGGTGGAGTGGGCAGGGGACAGGCATCCTGAGAGGGCAGCACCCTCACCCGCGCTATAAAATTGCAGCGCTACATTGATGGGGCTCTGAGCAACAACCTGCCCTTTGCGGACTGTCCGTCCACCATTACTGTGTCACCTTTCCATGGGACGGTGGACATCTGCCCCCAGAGTACCTCGGCCAGCCTGCACGAGCTGAACGCCTTCAATGCCAGCTTCCAGATCTCCACCAAGAATTTCTTCCTGGGATTGAATTCCCTTTTACCCTCCAGCCCTGAGGTAGGTCTGGCCCCTCAAGGGTGGTAGCCACTGGGCTGTGGTCAAGGGTCCTGGGAGTCAAACTCCGTGCTTCCCCCTCCCCCAACCTCAGGACGTTTGTGATCCATGTCCTGAGTCTCACAGCCAAGCACTTGAATCTGAAGCTCAGTTATGTCCTTACCACTCTCCTTCCCTCCCTGAGCCCTATGGCAAGGGAACACAAGAATGCCTACTCTGCGGCACTGGCACCAGTGTCCATGCCGGGCCTAGACCTGTGCTCCCTGGACCAGGTTCTGTGAGGCAAGGATGATGGCTCAGAGAGGTGAAGCAACTTGTTCAGAGTCACACAGCCTGGAAGTGGCAAAGCCAGGATTCAGACCCTTGGCCCGCCCAGGCCTACGCTTTTCACCGTTGCCCTACACTATGGCCGAATGTGCTCTCCATTGTAGAGGCAGAGCACCAGTGCAAACAAACAAACAAACAAAAAAGGATGACAAACCCACATTTTCTGTTTTTTTGCCCCATGGTGTTTCAGGGAATTGATAATTGGACAACAGTTTGTGATTGCACCGTGCTCCCCTGCCCCAGCCACGCCCTGGCTCTACCCCTATCCCTCATCCTTCCCGTGTGTGTGCAGTGCTTTATAATTTATGAAACAAGGTTTGGCTCTGCCACCTGGGGTGGGCAGAAAATTCCAGCCCCATTTTAAAGTTTTTATTTATTTATTTATAGATAAGGAAACAGAGGCTCTCAGAGAGGTAGCGATACTGTGCTGAGGTCTCACAGCAAGGGGTGGGGACCGTGCCCCTTCGTGGACCTGCAGGCCTGTCTTCCCCACCGGGGGGCTGTGATCTAGCAGGTGGTGCAATCTCCTGGGCTCCTCTGCCCACTGTAGGCTAGCCTCAGAAATGAACTTCAAAGAGACCCACCATCTGTTCACCTACAAGGGGCCAGGCGAAGTCCCAGTCATCCTTGGCCTTGCTTTCCTATTTTCCAGAGAGGGGAACTGAGGCCCGAGAGGGGTGGGGCTGGAGCAGAACATGCAGTCAGGGTGTCTCAGAGAGAGATGGGTGGGGCTGCAGGGAGGGGACTGGCCTGGGCAGCTCTCTTCCTTTTGGGGCTCTGGCCCTCCCTGCCCAGTCCTGAGGTCCTGGAATCCTGCTGAGGGGTTGCTTGGAACGTGAAGGCTGGGTGAAGACAAGTCTCTGGCCTGGGACCACCAGCTTGAGGGGCAGGTTCTGGCCTGACCATCCCACCCCTGCCCTATGTGTTGGCAGATGGTAGCCGACAGCTGCAGACAAGGCTACCTGGATGCCCTGAGGTTCCTGGAGAGACGGGGTAGGTGGCAGTTCCATGGTGGCTGGGAATCGCGCCCCTTATGGCACCAGTGACCTCTTGGGTGTTTTGAACCATCAGGGACCCAGGATCACTCATTCTTGTCCTTGGCATCTGCTCTGTACTTGGCCTGAGCTGGACACTGGAGACCCAGAGAGGAATCACACACAGATCCCACTCTCAAGGGGCTGGCAGCCTGGGGCAGGGGGACAGACCCAGAGAGATGGATGCGGTGATGGGGGTATGCTCAGGGTTGTGGCATCTGACTCAGTCTAGGGGTGAAGGGAAGGCTAGGGGCTTCTTGGAGATGGTGACAGACAAAAGCTGAGTTTTGATTAGCTATGAAGACTACAGCGAGGTTGAAGATGGAAAGGAAGAGAGTATTCTAGATTCTAGGTACAGGGAAGAGAACACGAGTGGAGGATCTGAGACTGGCACTCTGAGGGCACCTAGCTCAGTATGGCAGGTGTGTGTGTGTGTGTGTGTGTGTGTGTTTTCACAGGGTAGTGGATAGGCCAGAGAGGTCTTCTGGGCGCCATCCCACAGCAAGTGCTTTTCCAAGTGTAGAGATTTGAACTCTGGCCATCTGGTTCCAGAACACCTGTACTCTGTGCTACAACCCAAACCACACAGGAGAAGAAGGCATTTGCTGAGCACCTAACATGTGCCCAGACCTGGGCTTGAGCTTTGTGTATTTCTCTCATTTAATACTCAGAACAACTGAACAAAGCAGATGTTGATGTTCTTTTTTTTTTTTTTTTTACAGAGAGGGACACTGAGTCACAGGGAGGGGATGGTCACACAGCTTGCAGGCAGTGGGGCCAGAATTTGAACCCTAGGCCGTATCTTTGGGGTTTGGGCTCTAGGAAGTGGGAGGGAAGCGGAGCAGGGCAGGGCAGATCAGGGTGGGTCGTTTGGGATAATCCCTGGGTCTGTCTTGCAGCAGGTGGGTCCCCAGAGTGGAGTTTTGGCACAGAAGTGTGCGGGCGGTGTGGGGAGCCGAGGGTCATTTTCCCCAGGAGACTCCAGATGCCCTGATGCTCCAAATGCCATGTCCTCTCCCTCCTTTGACCCAGGTCTAACCAAGGAACCCATGCTGTGGACATTTGTGTCTAAGGAGCCCCCAGCCCCAGCTGATGAGACCCGGGATGCCCGAGACCAGAAGGCAGGCCTGTCTCTCAATTGGAAAGTGCCCAACGTGCAGGTCAAAGACGTGCCCAACTTTGAGCAGCTCTCACCAGAGCTGGAGGCTGGTACTGCCCTCTCCCTGAGCCTGCTCACCCATAGGGTCTGTGCTCGGAGGCCTGGAATCAGAGGCCCTGCCCTGATGGCACTCCCGGTCGGGAAGAGGCCAGGACGCAGTCACTGAGCATCTGCTGAGTGCTGGGTGCAGGACTGCTGGCCTTTTCCATGCTGTGTCATTCATTCTGCACCACAATCCCCAGCCTGAGCATCCTTCTTACCCATTTCACTGATGAGGAAACTGAAGCCCAGAGAGGAAAGGGACTCACCATGGTCTCGGAGCCTGCAGTGGGGAGATTCAAACCCAAGTCTGTGCTTGAGAAAGTCAGGGCTTTGCCCGCTGCCCAGGGAAAGGCAGGAGGTACCGGGGACATAGCAGAGGCACACACAGAGTTCTGGACTCCCCAGCTGGACTTATTTGTCCTCTCAACAATCCTCTGTGTATGGTACAGGATTGCTTCCATTGTACAAATGAGGAAATCATAGCACAGAGGAGTTCATTGACTTCCCCAAGGCTACACAGCTTGCAAATGGCAGAACTGGAAGTTCTGCTCGGAACCATTCGATCTGCTCTCCTGCGTTTATGACTAAATGCCACAACAGCAAAAACAGGAAAGTACAGGGTCCCATAGGCACATGTAATGATGGAGGAGGGTGGGTTTGAGCAGCATCAAAATGAGGCTGGGAAGATGTTAGCCAGACAGAGAGAGAGAGAGAAGACAAATGTCTGGACAGAGGACACGGCATGTGCAAGGGTCCTGGGTTGGGAGGGAGAGCTGAGAAGTCCGTGTGGCTACAACATCCAGGCTGAGGGGCAAGCAGCAGCAGAGATGAGTTT